ATTTTTTTATTAGGTTTTCTGAGCTGTGGTATGTGGTGGGGAAAATTGAATGAATAATAAATGTCTGGTTACATTTGTTTACTATATTACTTATATGGAAAATTTAAAAATTTTATAGGAACAGCGAATGAAAATTGACAGAGAATTTGCTTTATGGCTGAAGGACTGTCATGAAAAATATGACAAACAGATAAAATTTACACTCTTTAAAGGAATAATTACACGTCCTGATCTCCCCTCTAAAAGGCAGGGCCCCTGGGCCACGTACTCAGCCATAGAATGGGATGGAAAAATATACAAAGCAGGACAGCTGGTAGGTTTAATTTATTTTTCAATTTAATTTTTACTGGAATTTGAAACTAAATTTGATGTGTTAGAATTTAGCCTAAAAATAAAAATAATGTGTGTATTGGCTCCTTAGAAAAAAATGAATTAAGTGGTTTTAATTACATAATTTATTATAACTTAAAAAAAAACTCGTATTGGTAAGAGCTCAGTTAGCGAGGTTTTTATTATTTCTTGGAATAAACTTTACTCACATGTTCTCTTATTTTTTTTAATGTGACATGAAGTAATGATTTTTCAGCAAATATTTATTGAACAACTATTGCATGTAAGTTACTGTGCCTTTTCAGTAACAGTAGAGTTCTAGAAATGTGCTTTATCCTTAGGCATATTATAGTTTAAAAACGGAGATAACATAAGCACAAGTAATAATAGATCTGAAGGGGATAGTTGCTGTGAAAGACAGGGTGAATAGTGCTTTGAGGGACTAGAAGGAGAATTTTGTTACTTTGGATGGTGATAGGGTCTGGGAGAAGACAGCACATCCTGAAACACTTGGGAAGAAGTGGCATTTGCTGTGGGCCTTGAAAGTGGAGTGGCTCAGTTTACACAGATAATTAGAAAGGTGGAAGGCGGCTGTTCTCTCCATTAATGTGAGACTCACCATCATGTCTTCAAAGCCATGGAATTGGATGAGATCATTCAGGAGTAGTGAGTGTAGCTAGAGAAAGGCCAAGGACTGAACCTGGGGTCTTCCCAACATTTACAGGTTAGAATGAAAAGCATGAGCTGGCAAAGGATACCAAGAGGTATAAGCTGGTGAGATTGAGGGAAACAGCAGCAGTAGAGTCAGGTTCTCATTGGTATAAGTATAAACTCATAGTTTTTGTTGGAAATTTCTGAATTGGATTAATGGAAGTTATTATTAAACTTTTCAAGCTGAGAAAGAAAATGAAATCTCACAGGCAAGTTTTGAACTGATTTATTTGAAAGAAATGTTAACTTGCTACAGTTTCTAAATGAGTGTTCTTAGTCTGAGAGCTAGAGATTTTATGGGGAAAAAAAGATTTGAGGTACTTTGGGATTCACAGTAATTGAAAGCGTTCTGGACCTAGTAACACATGCTTAGCTATGACATTTTTGTGTGATGCCCAGCCGTTGTATCTTTATGAAGATGTGGTAAGTGGAGACCGTCACAAATATTATTTTCTTAGAATATTAGAATGCAGTTTTTATTAGTTTTTCTAATTATTGATACTAAGAGTTTTTTATATAGGAAATAATTCTGTGAAATGATTATTAATATTAAATCTATTTCTGTTACTAAAATAATAAAGCTTTTTTTTTTAACTAAATATTAGGTTAAGACAATCAAGACACTTCCCCTCTTTTATGGAAGCATAGTAAGATTTTTTCTTCATGGCGATCATGATGGAGAAGTATATGCTACAGGAGGAGAGGTTCAAATTGCAATGGTAAGACAGCAAGTCATAAAAAACATTTATTGAAAGTCTCTGGGTGCTACTTACTTTTGTTTAAATATTTAAATAAACAGTATTTCAGATTTTGCTTGTATTTGGTTTTTCTTTTGGATACAGTGGTTGTGGTTTTGGCATGTCTTTAGTAATCTGTAGAATTTAACATCTGTATGCCCAGTGTTTTATAAACATACATACATTATTGCTGCTTATCACAGTAATTTTGTAAAGAATGCATTTTCTCAAGAGCGCACAAGCAAGTAAACACTTGAAGCCAGAACTCTATCTCAAGAATGAGTAGCTCCAAAACTGTGGTAGTTTTTTTTTTCCCCTTATGCTACACTCTGTTAATATTTAGATAGTCTATTATTAGGCCTAAGGAGGTGACATGGTATGCTGAAATAAACACTGTGGGATAATGTAGAACAATCTAATGTGATTTATATACTTAATTAAGGTAAAATATATTTCTTTGGAAGAAACAAAAACTAATGTTTCTATTGCAGCTAAATTTGAGTAGTTTTCTTTGAAATAATTGGTATAAATTTATTTTATTTGCTCAGGAACCTCAAGCATTGTATGATGAAATAAAAACTGTACCAATTGCAAAACTGGATAGGACAGTTGCTGAGAAGGCTGTAAAAAAATATGTAGAAGACGAAATGGCAAGGTAAGCCGCATTTTAAGATGAATGACAAAAATAACAAAGGTGAATCATAATGCTTTTAGGTAGTCTTGTGTGTGTTGTTTTACCTTATGCTAGGCCATTTGTAGTCTTAGATATTATAAATGTTGTAATGAACTTCTCAGCATAAAAAAAAAAATTGACAGCCTAGTTATTACAAAAAATTTGTAGAAAAAGTAGGAAATTTCATATATGTAAAGTGTTGCTCTTTAAGCACTATCTTAAGGCATTTTAAAAAAAGAAACGATTTGACTTGTGATTAGAAGAAAATTGTTATAACTACAAGAGATAAAGATTAGTACAAAAACAAGTAAAAGGGAATAGAAGCAAAGCTCTGTTGGCTCTTCTGCTTGTCTAGCTAATGAGTGGTCATTTTGATTCTTACTGAATTTCACTGATAATTCTTTTATTCTTAGAGCTCATACTGTCTCCCAAAAGTAACTTGTACTATAAATGAATAGAAAAAACAACAAAAGATTGGAAATTCCTGGCTGTTAACACCAAGAGGTTTTATCTTACATTTTCAGTAGCTACAGGGATAGTTAAGTAGGAAAAATTTTAGATGAAATTTTAGAATTCCAGTTTTAACCTTTCAGAATATATCAGAAAAACATTTTTAAGACTTCACTAACTTGTATTTTTCTAATTAAGACCATAATTAACATACTTTGTGATACATTAATATGCTGTTTTCATAATAGGCTCCCCGATAGATTGTCAGTAACTTGGCCTGAAGGAGATGAATTACTGCCAAATGAGATCAGGCCTGCTGGAACCCCTATTGGTATGTTTTGCTTTTTTCCCCCTATTACTAAAATAATGCTTTTCTTGTGTCTTACCTTTCCAGTATATAAAAGACCAGAAAAAGTTAAAATGTAATGTCAAGACCTAGTATATTCTTTGGGTATAATGAAAATACTTTTCCCTTTAAATTTTGGACTAATAGGTGCATTAAGAATTGAAATACTGAATAAAAAAGGGGAAGCAATGCAAAAGCTTCCAGGAACGAGTCATGGAGGATCAAAGAAACTCCTGGTTGAGCTCAAAGTTATATTACACTGTAAGTATACAAGCCAATTTAGATCTTTAATATTGTCCTTAAATGTATAGTACAAGTTTAAATATCTTCATGTAATTATTGATGACCTAGCAATCTTAGACACTCTTACGTTGATGTCTTCGTTTCCTAGGGCAGCTGTAAGAAAATATTAAGTGGGTGTTTTTTTTTTTTTTCATTATTATTGTACTTTAGATGGTTTGCAGAGCAAAGTAGTTTCTCATTAGATAATTAATACAGATATTGTTTTGTGACATCGGTTGCCAACCCCATGACACGTTAACACCCTCCCCTTCTTGACCTTGGGTTCTGCATTACCAGCTTTCCTGTCCCCTCCTGCTTTCTAGTCCTTATCTCTGGGCTGCCGTACCCATTTAGTCTTGTTTTATTTTTTGAGCCTATCTAATCTTTGATGGAAGGGTGAACCTCAGGAGTGACTTCATTACTGAGCTATAAGGGTGTCTGGGGGCCGTACTCTTGGCGTTTCTGTGGTCTCTGTCAGACCAGTAAGTCTGGTCTTTCTTGTGAGTTAGAATTTTGTTATACATTATTCTGCTGGTCTGTCTGGGACTCTCTGTTGTGATCCCTGTCAGAGCAGTTGCTGGTGGTAGCCAGGCACTATCTAGTTGTGCTGGACTCAGTCTGGTGGAGGCTGTGGTAGATACGGTCCATTAGTCCTTCGGACTAATCTTTCCCCTGTGTCTTTGGTTTTCTTCATTCTCCTTTGCTCCAGACGGAGTGGGACCAGTGGAGTATCTTAGATGGCTGCTCACAAGCTTTTAAGACCCCAGACACTACTCATCAAAGTAGAATGTGGAAAATTTTCTTTATGAGCCATGTTATGCCAGTTGAGCTAGATGTCCCCTGAGACCATTCTCCCCAGTCCTCAGCCAAGTAATTCTGTCCCTCATGGAGTTTGGAAGTGTCTATGAAGCTTCTGTGACCTTGCCTTGGTCAAGTTGTGTTGACTTCCCCAGTATTGTGTGCTGTCTGAACCTTCACCAAAGTTACCACTTACAATTGTATCTCTAAAAACAGCTGTTTTCTTATGTGATTGTAATTGATGTATCGCAGTAATTCCTTGCTGTCATCTAATACCCACCACAGCTCAAATTTGTCTGATTTTCTAAAATCATATCATTTTATGGTTGTTTTTTTGGGAATCAGGCACATGCGTTGCATTTAGTTGTTATGTGTCTTCTTCAGTCTCTCGTTTCATAGCAGAGCCCGCTCTTCCTTTTTCCCATGCCACTAATTTGTTGACAAAACCCAATCACTTGTTCCGGAAGTTTTTCTTGTGATGTCATTTCACTTGTTCCACTCTTATTTCTGTTTCTTGAAGCCTGGGAGCTTGTTTCTTAAAAACTTGATTAGATTTAGGTCTACCTCTTTTTTTCCCCTAAAGAAAGACTCAACATTCATAGATAATCAAGAGGCACATTGTCTAACTGTCCTACTTTTAGTGACACTAGGATGGATTTCCTGGGTGGCGCAAACATTTAAGTGCTCAATTGCTTCTGAAAGGTCACAGCCTTAAAAACCCTATGGAGCAGTTCTACTCTGCACACATGGGGTCACCATGAGTTGGAGTCGACTTGAGGCCAGCAACAGGATGGATTAGTGAATTCAGTTGGTAATGTGATCCCTCGTTTATAAAGTCCCCCCACTCACCCATTATGTAATGGTTTCATCCATTAATGATGTTTGCCTGAATCAGTTACCTTATTCCAAAAAAGAACCCAGACCCTGTGCAATCAAGTCAGTTCTGACTCATAGCGACCCCATGTGTTAAAGAGTAACACTGCTCCATAGGGTTTTCTTGGCTGTAACCTCTAAGGAAGCAGGTCGCCAGTACTTTTTTTTTCAGGCGCTGCTGGGGGGACTTGAACCACCAAACTTTCAGTTAGTAGTCAAGTGCACGCTGTTTGCGCCACCCAGGGGCCTATAGTTATTGGGGGATGTAAAATGCTAATTTTTCTAATGCTTTCATTCCTTACAAATTTATTGTCTAGAATTTGTCTATGAAGAGATTTCCTTTATCAGCTAGGTTTATTTGGTTACTCTGAAACACCACTTTTACGGGATAGGCAGTATAAAGACATAATTTTTTTTCTTTAATTGCAGAGGTCAGAGTTAGGAATTAGTGCTGTACAGTAATGACCTGTACAGGTTTTATTTTTTCACTGCTGTTGTGAACTGATGGGATTTTATATATTTAAAGTGCTTCTTTCTTTTTGATGCTCTTGTGTCCTCTTGATATGACCCTCTCTCACTGATAGCTTTCTGCCTGAAGATATCCTAGACTCTTCTTGTACACGTTTCACCCCAGACCTGGATTCAGCCATTCTTCCTGGTTCCTTTCAAGGGGAATGGTATTTAGAGACCACATCTCAGTGTTTAGGGTATTTTTTGCCATTGAGTGAAATTGCTTTTAGGCTTTTTCATTTGACATCTACCCCGTTGCCATCGAGTGGATTCTGACTCATAGTGACCCTATAAGACAGAGTAGAACTGCCCCGTAGGGTTTCTAAAGAGCAACTGGTGGATTCAAACTGCCAGCCTTTTGATTAGTAGCCAAGTTCTTAACCGCTGTGCCACCAGGGCTCCAAAAAATGCCGTCAAGTCTGACTCAGAGTGACCCTATAGGACATTTGACAGCTAGGAATGTATACTTTTGACAAAGAAAAGAAAACCTGAACTCATACTACTATTTTGGGTTTTTGCCTAACCACTTAGATTTTATACTTGTATTTTTTTCTTTTTTATGTTGAAAATCTTGATTCCTAACAATATCAAGAATTGCTTTATCCTGAAGTACGTAGTTTCAGAATAACAATGCTAATAGTGTACTTAGCAATGCCAATACTATTGAAATAGATTTGACTTCTTTGCAGCACTGTTTGTCTTTAAAATATATTTCTCAGTGTTTAAATAGTAAAATATTCTTTATTCTAAAGTTACTTGAAATAATTATCTTTTTGTCTATGGGGTCATGTCACCTGCTTGATCTGAGTTGTGATTTTGTTTATGAATTGCCCTTATTTTAATTCCATTTTTTAAATATTTAAATTAGTCACATAATTCCAAAGCTTAAAATATATAAGAAGGAATATTTCAGAGAAGTCATGTTATCGCCTGTATTCTGTTTTCTTCTTCCCTGTTTAGCTAGTAATTTTATTAGTTTTCGGCTTACCTTTTCAGTGATTCATTTTTGCAGCATAAACAGGAAGAGATAGTTCATCTTTTTTTCCTTTACTTACACAACGTTAGCAACACACACACACATAAAACCCATTATTCTACTCCTTGCTCTTTTAACAGTAAAGCTTGGAGATTGCTCTATATTAATAAACTATGCTATTTAAATATTGAAGAAAACTTTTTTTTCAAATTGTGGTGAAAATATACATAATAAATATGCCACCTCAATTGAAGAAAACTTTTAAAGTGACTTAATATCAAATGAAAATGCTCTTTTTATTAAATTTTTTTGTTTTTACCACTAAGTTTATTTACAGATACATTTTCAAGAATTGAGATAAAGGGATTTAATCAGATGGATGAGTAAAATTTCATTACTGTTGCTTACTTGCATAAGATAGCATTAGATCTTTTAAAGCTTCAAAAGAATTTTTTGAATGTAGAGAAAATAAAGATTTGATATCAGTGTGACATTTCACATTCATGTTTTAAACTCAGTTTCTCAAGGGATAAATCTCTCTTTCTTTTTTTATTAAGCTTCAAGTGGAAATAAAGAAATAATTTCACATATTAGTCAACATGGAGGAAAGTGGCCTTACTGGTTTAAAAAAATGGGTGAGTTATTATTCTGAATGTTAAAAATTATATTAGTATTATGTTGACTTGATTTTTAATTTCTTGTTAATTTATCCAGAAAATATTCAAAAATTGGGGAATTATACATTGAAATTACAAGTTGTGTTGAATGAAAGTAATGCAGACACTTATGCAGGAAGACCACTACCATCTAAAGCAATTAAATTTTCTGTTAAAGGTAAGCAAAACAATATATAATTATATATGCTAAAGATGGCATTTTAAATCCTGGGGGGAAAAATAGATAATTCAGTAAAAGATGTTTTAACAATTGGGTAACTATATTGATCTCAAAATAGCATTATAATTCCACTTGATAATCATAGTCCCTCTGAATTTTGAAGGCAGTGCATCATAGTTTTCTAGCTTCCATTGTTGCTGGTAAAGTCTGAACCTGTACTGATTCCTGATCCTTTGTATGTGACCTACCCTCAGATGACCAGGCATCGGTGGAATCTTTTCTTTGTCCTCAAAAAAAAAAAAAAACCAAAAAAACACCCCGCTGCTGTCAAGTCAATTCTGACTCATAGCAACCCTATAGGACAGAGTGGAACCACCCCATACAGTTTCTAAGGTGCACCTGGTGGATTCGAACTGCCGACCTTTTAGTTAGCATTCATTGCTTTTAATCACTACACCACCGGGGTTTCCTCTTTGTCCTCAGGTTCTGAAATTTTAAATTGTATGAATTGGTGTGGGTCTGTTTTCATTCAGTTGTTGGATACTTTGTATGCCCTTTTAATCTGGAAACTCCCATTTTATTTTTTAGGAATTTTTCTTGAATTACCTTGATTTCCTATTCTTTGTTCTCTAATTCTGAAACATCTGTTGTTGAGATGTTGGACCCCCTTGCATGGCGTACTGTGATGGTTAATGTTATGTGTCTGCTTGGCTAGGCTATGATTCTCAGTGGTTTGGCAGACACTATGTATTCACTTTCCATTTTGTGATCTGATGAGCAGCCAATCAGTTAAAAGGGGAGTTTCCTTGGAAGTGTAGCCTGCCTTCAGTATATAAACGAATGTTCTGGCAAAGCTTGCTCTCTCTCAACCCTGGACTCTTCTTGTTGCTTGACCTCTGGTTCTTGGAACATAAGCCTGCAGAAGTCTTCAGCTTGCCGCCTGACCTGCAGATTTTGGATTCACCAGCCCCCACAACCCCATGAGCCAGCAGTCACCTCTAGCCTGCTCCCTGACCCGCAGATTTTTGGTTCGTCAGCCTCTGCATCTGTGTGAGCCAGCAGAAACCTTCAGCCTGCTGCCTGACCTGCAGGTTTGGGACTTGCCAGTCCCCAAAACTGTGTGAGCCATTTCCTTGAAGTAAATCTCTGTCTATAGATATACGCTTCACTGGTTTTGCTCCTCTAGAGAACCTAGACTAAGACATGTACTAATTTACTTTTCTCTCCTTTCTATCTCTTGGTTTTATTTTTCTACTTTATTTCCTTAACTTGATGTTCCAGATTTTCTACTCTGTTTTTCCTTTCTGCTACATCTGTTTTAGTAGTACTGTGTCCCTTAGTCCATAGACTTAGTCTTTTAACTTCCTCAGAGAATAAGCCTTCATTCAGTTGATTGCTGATGATGAAGAAGACAGGTACTGGCTATATGCAGGGAGGGATGGGGATCTGGAGAACTGTTTCTTAAACAGCCTCCAACGAGTCCTCCAGTTTTCATTCCAACTTGATACAACCATTTCTGAGACTTTTGAGTGTCCTAGATTGTGAATAGAAGAAGAATTTAAAGTTGGCAATGATTTCATTCTACTTGGATCAGTAATCAACGTCCATGGAGGCAGCAGTCAAGAAATCAAATAACATATTGCATTGGGCAAATCTGCTGCAAAAGACCTCTTTAAAGATTTTTGTTGTTGTTGTTTATCTTTTTTTTTGGGGGGGGGGTGAAAATATACACAACAAAGCACACACTTGTTCATCAGTTTCTGCGTGTATAGATCAGTGCCACGGCTTACAGTCTTCACATTGTGTCACCTTCTCATCATCTACCCGTATTGTTTCACCAGTGTTAACTTTTTACTCTCTATTCCTCTTAAAGTTCTAAGTAATGATTAGAGTACTTTTAGCTTTAGAGTTACTGTCATCAATTTGATTGCATGTATATAATTCTTTAAAAGGATGAAATTTTCAAGGCGGGCATTCTTTATTAATTGAGTTACACTGTTTTGTTTACAGGTGGCTTCATGGGATAGTTTCAGTTTAAGGTTTAAAGATTATTTGAAGACAATAGATTCGGGTGTTCCCTCAGTCTCAATGTGCCTAGTAAGTTTGCTTTCAT